TGCCCGTCAATTTGTTTATCAAAAAATTTAGAAAATCCACGTAAACAACTTGATTCCGATTCTTTCCTCTACACATCTGATTCTCTCCTCTCTACGATTCCTTTGCTATATAAAAATTATTGCCAATCAATTTTATGTATAAAATGCTATATACCTGATGCGAAAGGCAGCGCTTTTAAAGAGCGAAAGGCGAAAATGCAATAGATAAAAACAAAGTCAATAAAAAAATCAAAACAATAAAAAAATAAAAAATATAAATAAAAAATATAAAAAAAAAGGTTTACTCTAAAAGAGGTTAGGAATTTTGGGGACCCGATAATTGGCTACAACTTTTGTAGACCCGAATATTGTGGTCCGTCACTTTTGACTACTATTGGAGACGAAATGAAATTAAAAAAAATAATTTAATAAAATTAGAATTTAAAAAATCAAAAAAATTTTGGGACGAAATAGATCTAAAATAAATTTTCAATTTGGTGAATTTTTGATTATTAAAGTAATAAAAAATCCTAATTAGCATAATATTTATTTAACTACTGCAATTATATAATATAGTAGCAACTCAATTTGTCCAGATCGAGGATGATTCACTTTTTCTCTTTGAACATCTTAAAAAAGAAATTATATTAAAATTTAATTGATGCTTTTACTGTCGAAGGATAAATTTTCAATTTGTGGGTTTTTCCAAATTTCACCGACATTTTGGAAAATGTATTCGTTATTAAAATCTGCAAATCTATTGTAAATCTTTGATCATATTCCATTATTAGTGTTACAAGAAAATGAAATAACTTTTTGTCTATTTGTTTGTTCCCGGATTTGAAAATTTAATTATTTTTAAAGTAACCGATTAAGAATCGGCATAACATATTTCTATTTACCGATCTTCTCCCTTTGTCAGCTTGAAAAGGGTCTTCAAATTCCTGGAAATATTTGCATACTGAATCGAAATTTACAATATTCGGATTCCGAATAGGAATTTTATTAAGTCGTAATAATCAATTTTAACCTTTTTCAGCGCCGCTGGCAAAAATTTTGAGATTTTTGGAAGGCCTGCAATTTCGCCTTTTTCACATCAAAGCTAAGGGCGAAAGACGAAAGTAAAAAAAGGCGAAATTAAAAACTCGCAAATCCCTGCTATATACATCCCGTTTACGAATCTCTATAATTCTCTCTATAAAGGAAAGACACCCCCACCCCCCGCCCATAACGACATAGACGCGTCCCTCTAAAATTAGAAGAGGAGACTCTCTAATTTACACTCTCTCTATAAACCACACCCCCTTAAAAATTTTCATATAGACGTTGCCAACTAAAATTAAGAAAGAGAGGAGTCTTCATTAATGTATATTTAAGTAGTAGAAAACACTCTTTCTGCATTCATTTATTAATACAGACTCCTCTCCTTAAAATATAAGCCCCTATGACTAAACAAAACATATACACTAGCGGGGTATACTATAACTATATTATAATTAGAGTATTTGCTCTAATATTGTGTTATGTCCTTGACAGACAGAATAAGAACGTATCACAATGACTATAACTATAGTAACGAAAATACGAATATTCGGCTTACTTCGAATATAGGAGCGCAAGAATAAAAATGACTGAAAAGAAAGACTACTAACAGTAAAATACATAGCTGTTAACACTAACCCAAAACGTTAACATAGCCCAAAACGTTTGGCACGGCCATTGTCAAACTTGCTATGAGCTTCGTCACTCGTATCTTTTTTTGATAAGGGTTTTACCTGAAGCCTTTGTGCCGATGACAATTTAATTTAATTAAAAAATTTTATTTTAGAAATGAAGCTGACAAAAAGCCTTTTCATTTCAAAAACATTCCCCCTAAAAATTCCCATCCTCTCACTTATTTTCATTTTGTTTTCTTTCAAAAATATTTTTTGTGATGCGCAACGACAACACAATCTAAACGATTCAATACGATTACAAGTAAAAAATTTGTTGGAAAAATATTTGCCGACTGAATCGGACAAAAATCCATTGGAATCGCTTCAACATTTGTTCAACGGACTTGCACTATTTAACGACCACTACCGTTTTGGTGGTATTCTTGACTATTGCAAAGAATTCAACGCCGATCTATTCGAAAGCGATCAAGAAGTAATTTAAATTAAAATTATTTAGGAGTATTACCATGAGCCCAATAAGTGTTTATACAGTATTTTTTTATACTGGAGAATTTTTTTCGTTTTTTTCGCTAATTCTTGAATTGATTGATGAAATATTGGCAAAAGTATGTGTAAAAAATCAGAGGGAATGGAATAATTTTATCCATTACAGCAGCCGCCTCCTACATGTCTTTAGGAATTAAATAGTTATATGCTTTACATCTCTATCCCCTGTGAAGACTGACTATAGTCTTCTTTTCTGCCTCTTCTCGCTTTTTCTCTTAATCATCGCGTTTAATTACTTTTCTCTGCAAAGGGCCTAGTTTATGGATCGTTATGCGTTCATTATTCGCATAAATATCCGGTGCTACCAGTAAAGCAAAGCTGGACTATAGCTATTTCTCCTATGTGACTAGCACATTTTAAGTTGTCCGGCTTGATGTATCATCCGTTACGGCACACTGCCTCCTGCATAGCTTTAGGAACTATCTCAAATGGAGTGGAGTATCAAAATAAAATTAATACTTTTTCTTTTAAAATTTATTTTTATTATAAAGAGCAAACTTTTCAAAAAGAGAGATTTTGATAAAGATAAGGACAGAGAATTGATGTTATATGTCAATGGATATGTTGAATGTGTAAATATAATTTACACAAAGTTTTCGAAGGTGTTAAATAAAAAATATAAAAAAGACGGTAATATTTGGATATTTATTTCGGAACGGTCTATCTGAGCGTGACAGAATGAGTGTCATTCAGCTTTTCTCGACTGACTTTTTTAGACTCGATCCCATTTAAATTGATTTTATACCATTTGAAGCTCTTGATAAGCGGTATCTTTTTTCTAACTTGTTGGACCAAGTCTGATCATTCGTTATAAATTTATAATCCAAAAACACCAAATAACTACACTTAACGTATTATAACTAATTAAATAGCGAACAGACTTGATACATCAATAGGAAAAAATAAAGGTTATAAGAGATTTCGGAAGTTATAAGATCCATTTGGATTAGATTAGGCATAGAAAAGATATAACTAAATAAAGCAAATTGACGTTCAACAGCCTACGCTCAAATGACCTTAAACCTATTCTTATTGTTTGAGATTTTAAATCAATTTAGGAGATGATAAACACAAAATTGACATTTTCAAAAATTTCATGAGAGCATTTTTATTGACAAAACCTATATTTCTTGCGGTTGAATCGATGAAATTTATTTGGACTCTAAATTCGGATTTGTTCGGAGGATCGTGGGTACGTAATGTGAGGCGCAACTTTTTTCTTCAAATGGTTGCAACTCAGAACGCTGAGGTACAGTAAATTCTATAAAATGAAGAATATAAATTATAAAAGCTTTTTGCAGGAACTTCGTCTTATATACAAGTTGACAGAAATTCTTTCCGGCGCAGAAAATTTTCTCAACTTTAATAATTTGCAAAACGAGCTTCAAGGAGATGAATTAAATTTTATCAATGGTCGATTTGGTGGAACATACCAGTACCGAATTAATGAAGTAAAAATTATTTTACTGTGGTTGATCATAATTAATGGGCCCCTTGTAGATAAACTACTTGGAGTTTAATTTTAATATTAAATATTTATTAAAATTCAACAAAAGTATCATTAGAATTCAAATTATATTTCTTGAATTCCTAAGAGAGTTACCTATTTTCTGGCATGAAATTCAATTTCATAGGAATAGTTTCTAGAAGTTAGAGGTCTAGAAGTTAGAGGTACAAGCCAACTTTATGTTCTTATTAGTTAACCTTATATCCTCATATATGCACCTTAATGCCTTCAAATCGCATTTAGTCTTTAAAAAATCTCTTAAATCTTCTACTATATAATTCCTCCATCCCCCCCCCCCATTTCTGAATAAATTAACGAAAATAGAATGAGAGCGTATTATTTTTTGAACTATTTTTTAAAAGATTTTTTCTCTAAACCCCCGTACCCCGACACGAACCCCGACCATATTTTGCTCACTCGCCCGAACCCTGACCTGAAACATTTCGAAAACCCCATACTCCTACATACCCTTTCCCGAGCGTTTGGGTACAACCCTAGTTAATCTTCACCTCAATTTAGGCTATTTTGCAAGAATTTGAAGGGAAATTCTCACCACCTACTGACCCAAGTGCATGGTCTAATTTGTGTGATATCGACTTGACTATGGATGATTACCATGTGGTTATTGGACGATTTTCCAATCAACATTTGTTGATTCAAGCGGGATGCAGGTACCTTTGTAAAATAGGGAACGGGTGTATTAAACCTGGCGAGTGAGCGTTTCTACAATTTTTAATTTTTCAGTATATTAGAGATGAATGGTTATGTCAATGCTTATAGAGAATATGATCAAAATTTAATCATTTCCATCGTTTCGGAAGAATTAATATATTCTATAATGATGGGGTTTAAATCAGAATCATCATTTGCACAATTAGACTATCCATTAGGAAAAGACGTTATTCGAGGAATTATACATCATGCAAATCCAAACGGCCTATTTATCAACAATGTTTTTTTCAGAGCATTCGAATTAAGTGAAAACTCTTCTAATTTATTTTTAAATTTAATTGTTAAGCACGTCGTATGCACTATACAAACTTTGAACAAATAGACTTTTATTCTTACCCTACACATGCTGGAGGAGCGTTTGAAATGATGGATTTTTTGATAATTTGTATGAATGGATAAATGAAATCTGCCCTGAACATTTGCATCAAAGCCATAGGTTTTAATTTTTAATTAAAATTTCTTCAAATTTACTCAAAGACAAAACATGGGCCAACCCCTCAAGGACCAACTCCTGTAAATCTTCTTATTACAATGATATCCCAATTAATCCACATATCTGCTATATTTTCCTTAATTATCGATATCACCTCAACCCTCCTTCCGAGAAGGTACATCGAATACCTAACTGCTCCTTAATTTTCAATATCTCCATCACTCAATGCTTCAGGGGTTCTTAAAGCTAAACATTTGGCTTCTAAACAACTCCCTTATATCTCATATTCCATAGATATCACTCTTAATCCTCGATAATTCCTACTGTTCCTTAATGATCGATGTCCTCTCAATCCCTCCTATTTCGGAAGGTACCTCGAATACCTAACTGCTTACTAATCTTTGATATCTCCTCAATCCCTTCACTTTTAATACCTCAAAGGACATCTCCCTTATATACTCATATCCGACAGACATCCTACTTAATCATTGATAATCCCCCATAATTCCTACTGTTCCTTAAGCATTGATATCCCCTTCACCTCCTATCTCGGAATGTACCACGAATACCTACCGATCCTTAATCTTAAATATCTCCTCAATCTCTCCATTCTTTATAACTCAAAGGACATCTCCCCTATATCCTCATTCTGCAGATATCCCACTTGATCGTTATAAACCCTATAATTCCTACTGTTTCTTAAGATCGATATCCTCTCAACCCTCCTATCTCGGAATGTAATTCGAATACCTAACTGATCCTTAATCTTCAATATCTCTTCAATCTCTCCGTTCTTTATACCTCAAAGGAAAATCTCACCCTCTCCACTCTTAACACCTCGAAATCAACTAGTATAATACTATTTTTAATAGACTCTATTGGATGGATAGTTATTGGACGGAAAATCTAAAATATGATTTTGAAAATATCAAGAGATTCCATGAATTCAACATTTATCATAACATTTACTCGATTTATGCCAGCGCATCTAACAATGGAGGCCTTTATCTACATATTTTGAATGATAAATTTCTAAATCATTTGTTTAGAATTGTTGAATTAACGAGTTTAGCTAATTCTGCTATATTCGTCTTTGAAAATCGAAAAGTTTTTAAAGATTTATTAAAAGGAATGTTAGGCCATGGCGTTGACGTTCTTAAAACTGGGGAAAATTCACTGAAAACAACAAATAATGTAATGGAAGGATTCGAAGGAAATTTATTTTTAAATCTGCTTTTTTCCAATCGAATAATTCAAAGGTAACTTATAGTAGTTTCAATAAATAATAGAGTTACAATTTTACGATAGAGCACCGAATCGCTCCCAAAATCCCCATTGGAATCGCCGAAACGTGCCCGCAAAACTGTGACCTTTCACATCAAAAGTGCATCCTATTACAAAGGACATCCTATTACAAAAGGGCATCCTGTTATTAGTAAACATCCCATTACCGCTTGATCGTTCTCATTGTTTTCTTAAGGGTTTCGATTAAATTCTAACCCATTCTTAACTTGAACGGTAATATATTCAAAGGGAACGACTAATTGGGAACACTTTTCTTTTTGTCATAACTTTCTTAGAGGTCAATGAGGATTGATGATACATTTTTTATAACAGCTCTCTGATAAAATTGTTAGTAACAAACAATAGAAATTTAGTTATTACGCCCGACACCCAACCCGATCATGTGTTATCTTTAGCCATTTACATTATTTGTAACTGAGGATACTACAATAAGACACCTTACTTTTGTGATGCTTTTTTTAAATATATTTCTGGTCTCAAGCTAAATTTATCAAAAAATTAAGTGATGCAAACACTGAAGATGAATTATCGCTATTAGCCTTGTCCCTCTACACAATCCATGGTCTCTCACACTTGATACATGTTGCATTGCCAATGGCTTTGCGATCATTTTGGGGACGTCAATGTTATTATCAGAAAGGTAATCATGGTCAACATTCGATACAATTTAAAAAAATGAGAGCTGAAGAACAATCTAACAATAATGTAAATTGGTTTGAGTATCTTTTAAATAGAAGTAAGTTGTGATTTTATGCTCAAAAGTTATTTTATGCTTAAAAAGGTTATGATTTAAGAAACAAAGCTCTCTTTAAATTGGAGGTACTGCGAGGGATTTTGTGGGATTCCGTCACGCAATCCCGCATTTTCCGTGCTGGATCACACCAAACCCGCAGGCTCACACCAATCACACCTAACCAGCGGGCCCACACCAAACAAACAAGATTTTACATACATCTACTTTGAATACTTAAAATTTGCAGAAATATCATTTCCTCTTTATTAAATTTATTATTAAGTGCGTACCTCAGAAAATTTTACAAATGAAATACAAAAGATAAACAACTATAAAAAGAGAGATTATGCACAACCAGACGTTAAAATTAATGAATTTTGGTTTTATTTGTATAATGGGCTAAATAATGGAGATAATTATCCAAAAATTCATGTAAAACCTCAAAATGGAAACATAAACGGAGGTTAATCCAAAAATTAAATAACTATATTTTGTTACAGTTCTTTTCATACATACAGTCCTGTTTGTCACTGTCAGTGCGCTTCAGATTAGACCCTTCACGTGATGGTTCTAATCCATACACATTTAAATTATTTTTCACAGCAAGTACATAATACACGTAATTTGGTGCAAAAGATGATTGTTGATTATCTTAAGCAGATATAATCGAATGCCCAAACATTGTCCCTTTCCCGGCCTTAATTAAATCCCCGGGCATTATATTATTAATACCTGCCAGGGAGGGAACTGGGATTTTTTTAACCAGAGTGGCATTCAACTAAAGGGGAGGCATTTTATTTCCAATGAACCTCCAAAGAGTCATTCTTTTAGAGAGCCTTTCCATAAGCGTAGGCATTTAATTTACTTACTATGATAATATTTTTAATTTATTTTAAGTTTTGTTTAATACTCCAATCACCGGAATATATGAAAATACTCAAGATGTATTTTCATATCAGTCACATTTTGAACAAGGGCAATCATCAACACAACCAGAACAGGAAGGTCAATTCTATATGGCCTCGCCATATAGAATGACGACTCCTGCTCAAGTTGAAGGTAAATCATTGATATCTACATAACTTTACGTGCTGAGTTTGATACTCGAATTTGCTACGTTAACTTGTCAATACGAGTAATATATATAGTACTTTTCGATAATGATATTGGTATTAAAAAGATCCATTTGCTAAACACCAGTTATAACTATAAGGATTTTCCTTTTTATACCCAAATTACTTTTCGATTTTATAATAATATTAAATCTTAAGTTCTTAAAACCGCTAAACCGTAGATTCTTTTGTATCGAGAAATTACCGCCTGTATTAACTTTTAGTTATTTAGATGACCATCCACAACCTTCATGCACGCCAAAATGTGGATGTACTATTTCTCGTAAAAAACGCTCAGTTAATTTCTTGAAAGAAATTTATTCACGCAAAAAGCGCGCAATGCGTACACCAGGTGGTACACCACAGCGCACACCAGGAGGTACACCACATCGTACTCCGCCAGTTACACCACCTCGCCTTTCACATGGTGAATCATCATCAAGGCCAGAAGGTCCATTAACTACTAAAAATTGTGGACCTTGGTTTGCCATTATTTGGTTTATGTTGAAAGTTTATCTATTTGCAATGGGATGGATGATGTTGGCTTTCATTTATTTCCCTAATTTGATACCGTCATCTTAAAAATTGAAATTTTGACGTTAGTTCTGCTACGTTAGTAGATTACTTTTAAGATTTTTTCGATTTCTCTACGCTTGTAAGATTTTGATTTCTGTTTGTTATAGTCGGATCTCACTACTTGGGGTCTGAAAAAGGTTTTTTGATTTCCTTCAGAGTAGAGTCAAAATTACGATTACGAACTTTTTTTAAATTACTAATTACGATTACGAAAAAAGATTTTCGATTACGACGAAACTCTGTTTCCCATTAATGTTTCTCTTCACAGTTTATGCGTCCCATAAAGTTGAATATTGGTTTGTCTTTGGGTTTAAAGTTAAGGTTAACATTGATACTTTTCTCCTGATAACCGTGACAGATCGAATCATATCTATTTAACAGGGAATGTCGTACCGATAGCAGTAAAATTTGTTACAACAACGCGGAATGTTGCTTCACGCATTTGGATCAACCATCCCCGTAAAAAGACCTCAACTCATTTGAGACCGAGATTTGTCTAAGAGACCTGGATTTTTCTAAGACCCAGTTTTGTCCAATACACTTTTGCCTGGCCCGAGTTTTGAAGAACAGCTTTTGCCACTCACCCATCCAAAAAATACCGAAAATTTAATAGAGGACGCATAAATTGTAAAAGACAATGGGAGTCCCATTAGATCCAAATTCAAAAAATTTAATGCATAAATGAGAGGATTTAGGATAAGTTAAGCGAGATCCGACTTGTCGGGGTTTTTTTGTTCCAGTTTCTGGCTTTTTATTCAGCCAAACTGGATCTTTTTTTCTCCCCGGAGGCCTATTTCTTTCAGTATTCGGTAACTTTAATCATTTATTTCTACAAACCTTCATTAAACTTTATTTTTTTAAAATTATTCTTTATTATTTTTAAAATTGTTACGATAAATTTTAAACAAAATTTATCAATTTTTACGAGTGTTATGATTAGAGATCGGACCGTAATACTGACGGTTGACTAAGTATTGATTTGAACTATATTTTATTATGAATATTCGTCTTATGAAAATCCGAACTATTAAATGAGAAAGTACACTTGACCAGAGCAAATGCTTTCACCGACTTTTCTTATAGTGAATAGCTTATTAAAAAAATCTTACATTGTCAGCACCGCAGCCACAAATTTTGAGGATTTTGGAAAAAAACTTAAAAAAAATTCAATTTTATTCTAAAAATTACATGAAAATTTAAACTATCGTCATGTATTCAAAAGATTACAAAAATCCTCTAATTCACAATTTAAAATACAATCCCAATGAACCTATCAAACGCTAACCTAACAGTAATGAAAGAGGTTTAAATAATATTATTTGATGACACAATTAAATTTACAATTTCTTACCTTTGAGTAAAGCATACATTAACAGAGAAGCTAAATTTTTTCTGTTCTAATAATGCCGGTAATTCATTTCCAACATTGTAAAAACATATTTCAGTAAGCTGCTTTCTTTCGGTAAGTTTTTTTATTAACGCAAAGATATAATTAATTTCAAAATTCTCTTTTTCTATGAGGATTTCTATGCCTTATATAACCAAAGTGATTGGAAAAAGAATTGACATTGAGCTATTATCTTAAAGGAATAACTTTTACGGGGCAATAGAATAAAAAACTTTATTTGCAAAACTTCAATTATATTATCAATGATTAATGTGAGAGCCGCTCCTCCTGCCATACCATTACCTCCAAAAGAAACAGCTTGAGCTATGCCTATACTTTTAACTAACAATTCGAGCTGCGAAACCAGCTATTACAATAGGATGTGATCGTATATCGAGAATATTTGAGGAAAACTGATTTTGTTTATTTATACAATTCAGAAAATTGATAAACTCTGATGAACTTATGGCTTATCCAATTGTCAGTAGAACGATTAAGACGGCTCAGAAATAGATTTTTTCT